CCCTGTCGCGGATGCAACAGTATTACAGTATCTGCTGGATACAAGCACTTTTGGCTGTATCTTTTGCATTCATGTAGATACATATACATAAATATATTCTGCTGCCTTTTGCTGAATTTATTGTTTTTTTTTCTTTTTTTTTTTTGTATGCTCTTTAACATTGTGGTTCTCCGTCTTCTGGCCAAAACGAGTTTCTGCTTTTTCTGCTTATACTTTTTGTTGTTGTACTTTTTTGAAGTTGTCTCAATGAGAGTTTCATTCTTGAAATGCAAACAGCTGTGTGGCAGGCCGCACAAAGACATGTGCACACAGATACAGATACATGTAGAGGAGAGGAGAGGCAAACATCTGAAGAATATGAATGGGAAATGCGAATGAATATATGTTCATGGGCAATGCTCATGTTTCGGCATGAGAGCCGCCCAGCAGCAGGGCAGAGCAGAGCAGGGCAGGGCAGAGCAGGGCAGGGCAAAAGCAAGACCTCAGAAAACCGCAAAATTTAAACATAAAATATGGTAACGAAACACCTGCTCTGCAGAGACCCCTACTCCCTACCCCCTACTCCACTCCTTCTGCCACGCTCCCTCTGAAGACACATCTCGCTTCCCCCCTCCCTCTCTCTCTCTCAGACTGCGCTGCTCTTAAGCACCTGCAATACATTTGCGCAAAAAAAAAAGAAGTATCGTCTGTCGCTTTATCCCATGCTCTTCGTCTCTTCTATCCTCTCCGCTGCCAGTGTATGTATGTTGCTGGCATTGTTCTGCTTGCTCTCTTGTTTATTGTTTAATCTGCCATTGCACTTTTGCCTTTGGTACTTTTTTGACAGGTGAAGAGCCGAGGCATCGTCACACGCTGCACACTTTGAATATTTCACTGCCTCTCGCTCCGGCTCAAATTTCAAATTCTACAAATAAAGAAAATAAAACGATAGAATGATATGGAAGTGAGGGGGGTGTGAGTGAGAAAGAACCCCCTGCATATGCTGTCTCTTTTCTGCTTAAAATCTATTTTTCCGCTATTGTTGTCGCATGTAAATAAAGCCAAGCGGAGACATTCCTCTCACTCTTTCTCTCTCTCTCCGTTCCTGCTGTTGACAGAAAAAACTCGAAAGATTTATACAAGTTATAAATATAGTGTGGAACCGACTCTGTTCCCCACAACCAAACAAAAAAGTGCGTTGTGTCTGGTGTCGCCACACTGTAAAACTGGAGCAAAAGAAGAAGCAGAAAATGCCGCAGAGAACTTTGGAATCGGAAAAGTTCAACCATGGAATATTTTTAAAATGTTGAAAATAGTTGGCAAAGAACTGATAAGGAGAGGAAGCTAAGAAAACGATAGAAAAACAAAAATTCCCAATACACGCAATATTTATTTGAATCCTTAACTGAACCGATATAAAAGCCGCTTCCCGTTTCCAATCAGTTTCAATAAAATGTGCAGTATTTAAATGGATTTTTTTATGCAATTCAAGAACTATTTTAATTACTAATCTTATAGTAATAATTTCATTTGAAGTAAATAATTGAATGATGGTATTTCCATCCCAAGTTTTGTATTGCTCTTTTCTGTTGAAAGACTATTGATTTTCGTGGGTTTCAAGGAGTATTATGTTCCTCCAATAAACATTGCTGGGCAGTTTTTTTTTTGTTGGTCTGCAAGAGCCATCCTCTGTATGGCTCTGGGGAACTGATGGAGTAACTTCTAGGTTTCCGAAGACATTAGCTCAGAATCGGCAAGGATGAGGTACTTTGACGGCATTGACAACTGCTCAAATTCCTCCTGCATCTGTTGTAGATCCTCCTGCTGCTGCATTTCCTTCTCCACTAGTTTGGGGCTCTTTCCTTTAGGCTGCGGCTGCTCCACATCGGACTTCTCCCAGGGATCCGTGGCCCAAGCCGCATTTGTCCAGAAAAACGCAGCTAATCCTGTGATCAAAGAGATCACAATGGTCGCCTCGTGCTGTTGGTAATCTGCTCCGGATACGCTGCCGTAGAAGCTAAGCGCCGAATTCACCGACAGAGTGATGATGAGCTTGATTCGGCTCCACAAGAGCAGAGCGAACACCTCCATGATGGCCATGCTGAGCGTCAGCTCGATCATGAAGCTCATCGGCCAGACCATCCGACGCTTGTAGCCCTGCGGCAGCAGCACCATATCCTGCAGGAAGTGCAGGAAGCCACAGTACATCATGATGCTGGCGTAGAAGGTCTCCGGCACTTGCACCGGCACCGGCATCGAGGCATCTATATTCACGAAGAGTCTGGCCTGAAGCCCAACGCTTAGGATGGTGGTGGCCAGCAACACCAAATTCGAAACCATGATTGAGTAATCTGGAAACAAAAGCTCTTTGTATTATGCAAAATAAAAAAAAAAATTTCCTAAACTTACGCAAAATTTTTTTTTATTAAACTTTTGGAATCCGAAAAATTGTTGTACAAAGTTGGTTGTGCTGTAGACAAGGTGAAATAACTGATTGGTTTTCCTATGCTACAGTAGCAAAAGTGAACTCTCGGCTATCAAATTTGTGATTGTTGTTGCTGTCAGATCAATAACAGGATTAAACGGACTGCTGAGACAGAAATAAAATTAACAAATTGCGAGTGAATAAATTCATGTAAAATATTTGCGTGAGAGAATTGCGATCAATGAAAATACCAACAAAATGCAAGAAGAGAGAAGCAGCCAGGAGGGTGTCCCATCTCTGTGTCTCCAAAGTTCTTTTTCCATTAAGGTGTTTTATTTACTCACTTTTTGATTGAACGGGAATATGTAGATCCAAATATGGGGGCTGATGTATAATGCTGATGTATGGCGCTGAATTGTACATATATGTATGTAGTTAAATTTATTGGATAATTTATGATATTCATAAAAAAATCCTTTCACTTTTGGTACTTTCTAAAATTGAACTTTTTCCAGTTTTCTTCAAACTATCAAACGATTTTCAATGTCAGCAACAACTTTTACGAGTATCTGTATCGTTTCTGTTATTGAAGTTATTCTCCAGTACTTTTCTTTTCATTATTTGTATGCCCAGTGACTTTTTCCTGTTGCTTTTTAGCTTTTAACGCATTTCCCCCCATTGTGACCGCCGGTTTAACTCAATTAGATGTGCAATGAAATGCTAAAAGCATCTGGAGGGGTAGACCTGTAGGAGGGGAGCAGAGGTGGTCCGTACAGGTGGCAGGGAGGCAAAGGATAGGCTAATGAAATGAATGTAATGCATCTGCACCCTGATAATCAAATTAATTTGCATAAGCTGCGACCTCGTGACATTAAACCCTCCACATCGGGTAGCAGCAGAGGAGAACAAAAAACCTATGGTCAGAGAGTCGCGGAGGGAGAGGGAGTAGCCTATGTACATGCATATGTATGTACACCTGCCCTGATTTCAAAGACCCTGCCCCCATACCCCATAGCGTTGCCCGGAGTCCTGGGTGCACTTTTTAGCATGCAATCAAGGGAAATGTTGGCTGAAAGAGTGGTTTGCCCTTTGCGTTTTGCTGGAAAATTTATTGTAATGCGATTGTGGGGCTAGTTGTGGGTTTACCATGGCGGCCGCAGTGAAGGAAAATCGATGGTACGCGAGAGCCATTGTCATGCAATGGAATGGCAATGGAGGGAGGGTAGACAGAAAGAAGGGGGACCTAATATAATGGAAATACTGCTGCTTTACGCTTTTCCACTGTAATGACAGTGTCCGTACAGCCTTCAATCGCACACACAACCACACACACATAGATATATGTACATACATATAGAAATTGATTTCCCTAAACAGCAGACAGCAACGAAAAAGCAGAACAAAAACCGAAGAGACCAAAGAGACAGGGCGCACCACAGATAGACCAGAACCAGACAGAGCATATGTACATATGTACGAGTATGTATGTGTGCAAACAGGAGGCAGAAAAGACAAGGATTTCCTTGTGGGCCGAAGCTTTGATACCCTATAACTGATGGAGAGATTACAGTGCACAAGAACCCCTTATTATTTAATTTCTATTTTGAGATTCCCGTGCAGCATTGTCAACCACTGCTGCCAATAATAATACTGTCTGTACAGGGTATACAGCAAACAGCAGAAGCAGAGCCCAGCATAGATATCGTATCTCATGGATACCCCATTCAGTATCTGTATCACTACGCTGTGTATCTCTGTTTGTGTGTGCTGTTTGGTAACTCCATTTATTTGTGTATCTTTTTTATGACATTTTTTGAATTTTTGCTGCTTTTTTAGTTGGGGTTTTTTTTTGGCTGTTTGCATGACGACGGACAATGCCAACCGTGTACTCTATTCGCTGGTAATGTGTTTCGGTGCTTGGGTTAGTTTTCGAAATTGAAATGTATGCAAATAAGTACTCGCTGAAAATCAATAAATTCTTTGATGGTAGTGGGAGACCGACCCTCCAGAGAGAAGGGGCAACAGCTGATTGCATGTGGAAATAGTCACGCAAATCGTGGCGCAGAGAGTGAGAGAGAGATAGAGAGCACTCTCGAAATGTTATTTAAGCTCCGATCTTTTCCGTAATCAAGATTTATGGGATTTCCAAATGAATTCTCATATAAGGGAATAAATAGTATGCAAATGCCGGGGGGAAACCGGAATGGAGGGGATTGGTTGCTATTCTTTAATTGAAAATTGTGTAATATGAGGGTAACAGTTTAAAGGAATTGTAGATTCTGTGATATATCCCCTACACGCATGTATTGTGTAAATATTTACTCCAATTCCGATTGAGATGCCATCAATGAACGGAATGGAATCATCGTCTTCTGTGTGCTGTGCTGCTGCTCGATTTGGTTTGTTAATTAAATTTAATTTAGACAGCAGTCAAATGACAAACGACCCCCGCTTCCATCATCATCAGTATTATTATTAATCGCGGCACAGACACAGACTTAATCAATTTAACCCAGTTTTTTGTTGCCTGCCTGCCTGCCTGCCTGCTGTACTTCTGCTGCTGCTGCCGAGTGGGTGGTCCTTTTGTTATTGTTGCTGGCGGTGGTGTTCAATGCGTGGCATAATTAAGTTCGATATTGCCCCAAGATCTTTATCCGGATGGGCCAACAGTGAGTCGCGTTGAGTGCTAGCCAACAGTCTGTCGGCAGACACCTGTTGATGGCCAACAGAGAAGGGGAACCACACATATTCCATTCAATAAGCTGATTTTTGATTTGGGAAAATAAATACTAAATTCATTTGGAACCCAAACATCTGTCTGTTGCGGATTACACCCACTGCTTCAAGAGATTGGAGAGAGCAAAGGATACGATAAGAGAGATATATCCTCTACAAGAGCTCAGCTCTCTATCTCTATATATATTTATTCTTAAGGACAGAAACTGTACACCAACTCGTGCATGTCCATTCATGTCTATAGACGTGTCTAAAGCCAAGTTGCAGCGCTAATTTGATGCCTACGAATGAGACATGGAAAACAGACAGACAAACAGAGAGAGAGAGAGAGAGAGAGAGGGCGAGAGGGCGAGAGGGAGAGTGAGCGAACGAGAAACATTTGCCTTTTGCACCTTGCACGCGTCCAGAGTCTGCCCACCCCCCCACATTGCCACCCCCATTTGTGTGCTGCAATTTCTGTCTGCGCTGCAGAAATTCAAGTACCGTGGCAGCGCCTGCCTCTTCCACCTCCTCCCCAACGGTGTCACCCCCTCTTCGCCACCCTTCTGTTGGTGGCACCCTTTCAACGTCAGTCAGACCAACTTATTGGGAAGCCATAAATGCCACACGCGCCAGCGCCGAAGAGAAAAATGAACCGCTTGCATGTGTAAGCAAAGGGGGGGGGGGAGCGGACAGAGGCGAAAAGCACGAAACAAATGATAATAATTTTTATATAAACCAAAAGTACTAAATAAAAGGGGAAAGGGGGGAGGAGAGAGAGGGGGGCCCAAAAAGAGCGCCCCCGAAAGACCCCCTTTATGGGGGGCAACACACACAAATAAAATAAAAGGGGAGCAAGTTTAAATGCAATGAGCAAAAATCAATGCAACCCCAAAGCAGACCGACCACCACCCTCTCTTGCTCTCCCCTTTCTCCATCTTACTCTCCCTCTTGCTCCCTCTTGCTCTTTCCTTTCTCCCTTTGGGCGTAAACCGGCGCCATGCTGCTTTATTAGATTGCTGTAAATAAGTTTATGATGCGCCAAAAAAAAAAAAAAAGAGAAAAAATATATCAGAAGAGTTCTGTAATAAAACTAGCATCAAAGAAGCCCCGAAGATTTAGATACCCTTCACGAGTGTTTCCTTTTACAAAAAATTGCTCTTCGTGCGATAATTTTTGTGGCATTTTTATAGCATGAATCGATCTTAGTAGTTCGAGCCCCATCTTAATTAATTCGTACAAATTTATATTCGAATCTCCCACAGAAAGAACGCTATGTGCAGGCGAATAGCTCTAGAACTGGGTTGCCATAACAGAGTTCTCCAATAATGTTCGAAATGCCTATAAATGCATCATAATACCCTCATGCAAAGTGTATAAAATATTTGACATGCTTGGACCCACCACAGAGAGCAACCGAGCACAGCTCTTGGCGCAGCAGCAAGACGTTGCTGTGTCATGGACGCTAATGAGAAAATTTCTAATAGAAGTGGGCAATTTTTCAACTAATTTGCATTATAATTATACGATTATAATGCCAGTTTAGCAGCTGATCGAACTGAACACGGATGGGAGGGGGAGAAAGAGTGGATAACTTGAGGCCGCATTCCTAAGACTTCCATGGCCTGGGACGATGTGGCAAGAGGCACATTTCCATTGCACTTGGCGACAGCGGAGACAGAGAGGCGACACCTTCTCATATTGCAGTTCTAAAAAGTAAAAGAAAGCTGAAGAAATGGGGAAATAGAGAAGTGAGTGGGGAATAGAAATATATAGAAACCGCTGAGTGACTAAAAGAGAGCGAGATAGAGCAGCGGCGGAGGAGATTGCATGTGGAAAATGAGCAATTTCTTTGGCATTTTACTTGAAAATTGTTTCTCGTTAGTTTTTGTTTTTGTTCTTATTCTTTTCTTTGTTTCTGCAAGAAAAGTTTTGCTACCTTTTATTGTTTTACTTTTCTCTTGCATAACACAATGGCCTGGTCAGAGAGAGAGAGAGAGATAGAGAGCCACTTTCTGGCCAAATAGAACTCGGACAAGTTTTCTCTCTCTCTCACCATCGTTATGTAAATTCATCCATTCAACAACCTGAAACTTTAACCATGTGAATGGAGGCAACAGCATCTCTATAGAAGTTGCTGATTCAACTTCAAATTTCCATATACATAATTTAATTTTACTTATTCATTTTTCATTTGAATTTTGTACTTACTCTATTTCTGAATTTATATTTTGCAGCACCGACGGCACAGAATCTCCCATACTGGCTGAAGACGGTGGCGATGGACATGATAAACCGCGTTTGCGCTACGGAGAATTAGTTATACTCGGGTAAGTACCTAGTTCATACATCCTGGGAATAATCTAAAAGGGTTCTTTGGG